CGTGTCAGCTTTGATAGCATCTAACCACCATGTTCTTCAACAGCTTGGTTTCTTTTCTACAGCTAACTCTTCCAAACCGAAGAGGGCCTTGGTGCTCTCTGACCTTGCTTGTTTTCTTGCAGATGTTTCATTCCCCAAACTAGATAATATCATCTAGCAATGAAGCTCTGGAACGAGCTCTGGAACAAGTTTCCCCGTGGAAATCCGGACCCTTACTACCCTCCCGGCCTTCCGTAAAGCTACCAAGTCCTGGCTGTTCCGGCAGGCTGGTGGCTGTTGAAGTATCCAGCCCCACTTCATCTGTGAATGTTGTCGTATTTTAAATTGTTGTATTGTCTTGTATTGTCTTATTTATCTTCTTTCCCTGTTTTATTGTAAGCCGCCCGGAGTCCTTCGGGAGTGGGCGGCACACAAAACCAATAAATGAAATGAACTTCTCTACACTGGAATGTGTGATTTGGGCTATTCTGTGTGTTGTATTTATATGGTTGGGTGTGGCTTCCTATTGATTGATCGATAGGTGTGCAGATGGCTAAGGTTTCCTTGGGCTGCCAGTTCTGGGCTTCTAAGTACCTGATAAATCAGCAGTCCTGTTGACTAACAAGAGGGCCATTTCTCAGGCTTCAATCACTTCCCTGGCTACTTTTGTATCTGCTTGGCCAACAATTCAATTTGCCTTCCTTCATAGGAAAGATTGAGCTCTTTCTCCCACCAAACCCACCTTGCAAAGGTTAATGGCTTCATTCCTTCCTTTGCTAACATTTCCCTGCTGCTGGACTCATTGACTGGTGGTGGGTCAGTCATTGGCTATGCGTGATGTCACTGGGATCTAAATAACCATGACATTCCTGTATGTTTTCAACAAAGAGGCAGGTGACCGCAGAAGTGATTTTAATTTTAAGTCGTTGGGTTTCGTCTACACAGGAGCCATGGAGTTGCTACTGCTGGCCCGAAGGACCGATTTGAGACGGATCTCCTTGGACACTCCGGATTTCACGGATATTGTGCTGCAGTTGGAAGACATTCGTCACGCCATTGCCATTGACTATGACCCCGTGGAAGGGTACATTTATTGGACAGATGATGAAGTGAGAGCCATCAGGCGTTCGTTCCTTGACGGCTCGGCTAGCCAGTTTGTTGTACAGGCACAAATTGCACACCCGGATGGCATTGCTGTAGATTGGGTGGCCCGAAATCTTTACTGGACGGATACGGGGACAGACCGCATCGAAATCACACGGCTTAATGGGACTATGAGGAAGATCTTAATCTCAGAAAACCTGGAAGAGCCGAGAGCTATAGTTTTGAATCCTATGACTGGGTAAGGCCCATATTTTTATTATGGTTCTTTAAAAAATTAAGAAATACCATATTCTCCCAAGTCAAATCTACCGTTCATTTCAAAGTGCTTTCCCTGATTTAGGAATATGAATCTCCCTTACTTACTGACCATGAATAATTTCTGGTGGTGGCTCTCAGTTCCAGAGTGCTTAAATTAGGATTATTTGGGACCAATAGGAGCTGTTTAGCTTGTTTTAGAATAGCCATCGTTCCAAAGAACACGTCTGGTTCATCTGCTCTTTTCCTCCAAAATGAGATTTGATTTACAGTGTGAAACTATAATGAGAAATTTAGATTTTAAACTGAAGATTAGCCTGGAATATAAGGCCCCCTTTAAAAGCGGCTGAAATTTCTACAAGGATTTCCTAGGCTACCGACCAGGCTGCAGGAGATTGGTTGAAACCGTAATAAAGTAAAAAAAAAAAAAAAAAAGTGCAGCCCATCTGCTTGATCCTCCACATTGTCACCCCAGGGATCCCCCACAGTGCATCATTACACATTTTCCGAGTTGCCTGTTATGAGCTATTGTGAACCTGTTTGAATACTGATCTTTCCCCCCCTTCCTTAAAATAGTGAACTGAGGCAGTTTTACATTGCTTCCCATTTGCGTTAGTCTTTTTTTTTTTTTTTTTGTAGCCCATGAGTAATAGGGTGTAAAACAGTTTAGCTCCCTCACAGATCTGCAACTTGGTGGATCCACCTCTTTAAAACATTAGCTTTTATGATGTCTTTCTAATCACCCTTACACTTTTAGAAAAAGGGGGAAAGAATAATGGTCCTTGGGAATATTTCCCCAGCAAATAGAGAGGCTGACCTAATGTTGGACAAGATCCAGCTTGGTATAGCAATAGCACTTAGACTTATATACCGCTTCACAGTGTTTTTACAGCCCTCTCTAAGCGGTTTACAAAGTCAGCCTATTGTCCCCAACAATCTGGGTCCACATTTTACCCACCTCGGAAGGATGGAAGGCTGAGCCAACCTTGAGCCGGTGAGATTTGAACTGCCAAACTGCAGCTAGCAGTCAGCTGAAGTAGCCTGTAGTACTGTGCTCTAACCACTGCGCCACCTTGGCTCTAGTGGTGGTGTAGTATTGAAGGCACCTGGCTAGGAACCAGGAGACCATACGTTCCAATACCACCTTGGACACGAGACCAGCTGTCTGACCTTGGGCCAGTCAGTCTCTCTCAGTCCTAGGAAGGAGGCAATGGAAAACCGCTTCTGAACAACCTTGCCAAGAAAACTGCAGACATGTCCAGGCAGTTTCTGAGAATCGTTCAGGATTGACGAAAGAAAGTGGGGGGGGGGGATTGTATATGTTCCATGTCCACGAAGTACTCATTTATGAGAATTATATGGCAGATTGTCGCGGGAGTTCAACCAGACAATTTTGCAGATATGTTTTAAGTCAAAATAATTTAAAACTGCAGAAAGTACAGGCCATTGCCAAAGTTTAGCACAGTTTTGTCTCTAATGAATACTACTACATGGTTTTTGCAGTCCCTGTTTTATTCCATCTTACCCTTTTCCTTTTAGCTACATGTACTGGACCGACTGGGGAGAGGTTCCAAAAATTGAAAGGGCTGCTCTAGATGGTTCTGACCGAGTTATACTGGTGAATACCTCGCTTGGTTGGCCCAATGGATTGGCACTGGATTACATTGAAAACATGATATACTGGGGAGATGCCAAAACAGACAAAATTGAGGTTTGTTATTTCCATTTCTCTTCCTTAGTCCAAAATCTAAAGTACTTCCTTGAGATGTGCTATTTGTGTCAGTGGCTCAGCTTATGTTCCTGATGAGAAACGAATAAGTAGCATCGGTTACGAGTAAACAGATGTTAGAATCAGAATCAATGATGGTTGGATTTACATATTCATATAATCTGCTGATGTTCTCCAGTTGTGATCTAACTTTCTTGGTGCTGCCCATTGAATCATCTATGAAAGATGAGGAATCCTAATGGTTTATGAACAATCCTGAGGAAACTGCTGAATAATGCCACCAATGTTGGAAGTCCCTAGTTTTCAGCTGCTGCCACAGCTGCACAATTTTTTAATAGCTTAGGTTCCAACTTCTCAGCTTAGCAGCTTTGTATTTGACTTGCAGATCTTTTCAGCAGATTTCGGCAAAGCTTCTCTGAAATAAAATGTATTATACACACAAACATGCTCTTTCAGAAGGCTGAGAAAAGAAAAGAAAAACATTGCTCTGTTGGAAGAAATGTCCTTTTGGGTTCAGTTCCAAGTGGGGAAAAAGATACTGGATTCATGGAAGTTGCTTGGAAAGAAGGGTTATTGATGATGGACAATACAATATAATAGCAGAGTTGGAAGGGACCTTGGAGGTCTTCTAGTCCAACCCCCTGCCTAGGCAGGAAACTCTATACCGCTATCCAACATCTTCTTAAAGACTTCCAGTGTTGGGGCATTCACAACTTCTGGGGGCAAGCTGGACCACATGGTTTGAGTCCATGGTTTGGGATTCTTATTAAGGCTCTGCCTGAAGGAGATAGATCTTTGTTATGTAGAATATACTGGTTCAGGCCTTAATGACCCATTGACAAAGGTGGGGGTGGAGGGCAGGGCTGGGTTTCTGCCTCCCTTTTAGGGAGAAATATTCTATCCTTTTAATATTTCCTAAAATATTTCATTTTCTAGGAGAGGGGTGGGTTTTAACTTCCTAAAGCTCCTTTTACCATATCAATGGATAGCTCCGTTAATTCTTCTAGGGAAGGGGGGGTCTCTTTATCTCTTCTAGGGAGGGGGGTCTCTATCCCTTCTAGGGAAGGGGGGGTCTCAAACCCTTGACTGGCTGAGGAATTTGGGAAGTTGAAGTCCACAAGTCTTAATCTTGCCAAGATTGGCGATTCCTGCTATAGGGCAAAGGAAGAACGACAGTCTTCAAAACGAGAGTAGATCTTTAAGAATCCCTGGAACTTTTATCTTAAGTCGGTCTCTGGAGCAGGGGAATTCTGGATTTTGAGGTCCACATTGCTTAAAGTTGCCAAGGTTGAGAGATTCTGCTTGGGAGACCTCCTCAAGATCTATTTTTTTCCCCAGTAATTTGGACAGCAGCTTCCTAGAGATAATCCTCTAATTGCAACCAGAATTGGGAACCAGAATTTCAGTTGTTAAGCAAGGCAATTGTTAAGCGAATTGTGTCCAATTTTAAATCCTTTTTTCCATGATTGTTAAGTGAATCATGAAGTGAATCACTAACCACATCCAGCTCAACCCATTGACTTTGCTTGTCAGCAACTGGCCGGAAAGATCTCAAATTGTAATTAGATCACCCTCTGGGATGTAACCTCATATTGCAGACCATGGGGATGCTGCAACGGTTGTAAGTGTGAAAACCGGTCTCAAGTCGCTTTTTTCCCCCCAGTGGCGTTGTAACTTTGGATGCCCACGAAACAAACTGTTGTAAGTCAAAGAACAAAGACACAAACATTTTGCAGCGCGTAAAATGACATCAGCTCTTACGGCTTCCAATTGAAAACGTGTATGCGTGTATATTTTTTCTTTTTCTCAAGCAGCCTTTCTCAGGTGACAGTTTTGTAGAATAAAGGAAAAGAATCAGGGCTCTTGCAAATGTTGTATCTTAGATTCCCCCCCCCCTTGTGTCTTCCACATGCTTATGCGGTTTCCCCCCCCCCCCAAGGTTGCTGATTCATGTTGCACTGTGGCTGTTCCCCAGATAATAAAGCCTCCACAGGGACTAATGAATATTGGCAGGGGTCTCAGCAGGAACCTTTGTTCCCTATTTATCTGGCAGCCTGCAGCCTGCAGCTGAGGGGGGCGGAGAAGAAGGGGGAAGTCTGCGGTTTGGGGCTTCCTTCTTTATCTCAATCAATTTTCTCCACCTATAAAACGTCTGTTGAATCGGTTGGCTGTTTATGAACGGAGACAATTCCTCACTGGCTTCCTTTCTTTCCCTGTCATGCCACGAGGTTAAAAATGCATGATCTGCTTCGCTCGTTTGGGATTACATGTTTATTTTCTGCCCGGAGATGAAATTGGAGGGGGGCGGGGCGGGCATGAAATCACCAACGCGGCCAGTCTTAAAATGAGGATTCTATTCAAAACATCCAGCACTGATGGACTCAATTGTCTAAACAGTCTGCATCCTTTTAGCTGGGTCTCCGGGAGTTTTAATTTCGATCTTCGTATTTTTTATTCAGTGATGGTTAAAAAAAAACCACCCTAACACACACTTCGTTGAGCTTTGGAGCAGCCTTATCCCACCTCCAAAACATTAACCATTGTCTGATCCTTTCGGACCTCAGAGACCACTAAATTCATAATTTTAAATCCCACGGACCACTAATATGGTCTGCCTAATGACTGGCTAGGTGGTCATATGACTGGGTGGGCGTGGCCAACTTGATGTCACTTCAAGGGGTGCCTCATCAGCCTCTATTCGCCCTTCCCCTCCCAGCCATTCCTCGACTCCCCACCCAGGCTTCTTAAGGGCCCCAATAGGAAGCCGTTGTTGGAGCTAAGCAGCCACCACGAGAAAGAGTTGGCAAAACAGTTCAGTTCAAATTGGATCTGACCGAGAAGAATAGCAATAGCAGTTAGACTTATATACCGCTTCATAGGGCTTTCAGCCCTCTCTAAGCGGTTTACAGA